TAAGACGAAACAGCTGTCCAGTACTCCCAAGTTTTCCAATGGTCCTCTTACCGATGTCAGTTCATGATAAAATCCTGAAACAAAACAAATCCCTGTAAAACAACACCTAAATATGAACTTTCTGCTTATTTACAGAAATTCAAGAGCTTTCGTGAAAAAATTTCGCGCTTCATAGTTGATTTGACACATCTCATAGTGGCACAGTGATATTTAATTTACTTGTGACATTCTGATCAACATTTACAGTCGTAATCACATGACTATAAGAAATAAATCGTGCTCGAAGCGTCAGCAGCACATTAATGATAATATTGCGTTGTCAAAATAACCATTGCAATAAAAATTCTTTCTGAGACAATTGGAAGACAGAAAAAAGAGGAGACTGAGCAAAGAATATGCTTTTCGATAACTTCTCTGTCTTGCTCTGTAGTTATGCAAACATAACTTTGACAAGGTAGTTGTTATTGGCAATAATAATGTTTTTAAATGATATCGAGTTGTTAAGATCAATAGATAACAGTTTAAAAGCCTGTGTACGTGACTATATACACAAATGTAACATGAAATTGAATGTCAGAGGAAATTAAGAATGGAATTAATGCAAAGGATTAAAGATAGTTAAAACAATAATGGCCTATAGAGGTCTCAAAGAAAAAGGGAAATCATCAGTTTTACAATCAAGTAGTGAAGGCCAAGGTAAGGAAAAGGGTTGTACAAATTTCTTCTGAACAAATAAATTTGCTCTCTTCAGGTGGGTTGCAATAGTTTAGACTATATGTAGAAGATAAGTTCATAAGGGAAAATTAAAATTAGTCGCAATGCGATTATCATATTATTGTTTTCTTGGGTTCTGTGTGGAACATAGAGATTCAGAAGGATATCTTAATTCTTCCATTATCTTTACAGTCCTTTTAGCTATCTTCATGATTGTCAACAGGCTTTCATCTCCACCTACCACAATCTCTACCATGTCACCTTCGGACCTACATCAAACTCTTGGCTCATTTGTCATTTGAGTTCCACTCAAGGATTTGCATGGGGCTTGATGTCACTCGGCAGTCTCTTCAGAGTGTGTCCGATCTATCTCCATTTTCATTGGCATATTTGTTGGGCAATAGGTTGCTGATTGGGTCTGTTTTCCAAGCTTCTTGTTGCTAAGCTTTTCTGCCCATGTGATGTTTTGTACTGAGCAATGGCGGTTGTAGATGAAAGTGGATAGTGGCCTGTTAGAAATGCTTTTCGTGATGTATGCTCCAAGTCTCTGAACCACAGAGGAGCAATGGTCCCAATCTTCTTTTTCATGCTGATTGCAGCAGATTACCACACTAATTTCAGAATAGATAGATAGCTTTAAATGTCTAGTTAACGTCATTTTTATGTTTAGTATCTACAAGGTGAATTAAAACACGAGATATGAATAGACCATGTTTGTCCCCTGCTTAACTGTGAGGGATACTGTTCAGAAATCGAATGATTAGCATGCATACCTAGTGTAACAAGCTCCATAGAAGCAGTCAAAATGGTAGGTACACAGAGAGAAGGCCCATGTTCTATTCATACTAAAGAAATGTAGCAAGAATACCACTTTTGCAATTAATAGTCTTCTGTGAGCTGGTTGGTTTAGTTGCGGAGCTTTCGTTGTCCATCCTTCTGGACAACATCTCCAGCGCAATATTTAGTATAAAGTGAAATGATTTAAATTTCTTCATGAGTGATATAATTACGTCTCCCAGTAACTATCTTTATATATGTATTGACCATTTTCTACTGACCTGGATTTTAAACTTCCTGGTCACCTGATTTACTTCTTATTAGTTGGTATATTTAGTCTATATTAACGTGTTTGTTAATTGCATTTTCGTTTGAGTACCAGGCTTCAAGGAATTCCCGGCACATTTGGTGCTTCTTCTGTCTAAGATTTCGACATTATCCTAACCAAATTGATGTTCATAATTGTCTATATGCATTGATACTAAAGAATATATATCGTGTCTTTTCACAACTGACTTGTGATCTTGGATTCTAATTCGAAGGGGACGTCCACTTTGGACGAAATATACCAACTAATAAAAAGCAAATCAGGTGACCAGGAAGTTTAAAATCCAGGTCAGTAGAAAATGGTCAATACATATATAAAGAAATTTAAATCATTTCACTTTATACTAAATATTGCGCTGAAGATGTTGTCCAGAAGGACGGACAACGAAAGCTCCACAACTAAACCAACCAGCTCAGAGAACACTGTTAATTGCAAATCATCCACCTGAGCTACAAATCTTCTCTTTTATTTCAAGAATACCACTTACTGTTATGATACCAAAGTAATATGAGATGCGCACTATGAAGGATAGTAGCTAGAGCTAATTTGAATATTAGGAAAACTCCATCAATAAATATATGAAGAAGACAAACAGAAATACGCCCACCCGATTTCCACAAAGTTTGTATGAACATAGAATTATTATCAAAGAGAGACAATGTGCTTGGAATGACAAAGCAAAAATTTGATAAAACTGTAAGGCGGAGCTGTCATACTGCGAAACCATTTTTTTTCTCGAGAGCATACTTAAATGATCGGAAAATCCTAAAGTACCATTCCTTGATACTGCAAAGTGACTTTATCAATTTGAGTGTCTTCATTGGAGGAAGCAGATAAATGTTACAGGAAGGTATTTTAGCGATTGCTTAGAGGATACAAAAGAGAAGATACCTAAAAACTTCATAGCTAAGCGCTTAATAGATTGTGGATCTATTATTAATGATACCAAATTCTTCACAGTCATCAGTATATGAAGTGAGAGAATGTTTGTATTCGCAAAAGGGTAGGCTATCAAAAAGAGGTCAGTGTTGATGTAACAAGTTTGCAGACTAATATACCGATTAATGCAGCACTGGAGGCAGTTCGGAACTCAAAAACGGGACTAAGTTACCAGTTGAAGAAATAATACTGGGTTTTCAATTATGTCTCGCCTCCACTATATTCAAATTTCAAAATAAAACAAACAAACAAATGAGGGGTGGGGGTAATGAAACCACTAATATCTCTAGTAGTAGCAGATTCACCTATGGATAGTTAGGAAAGTAAAGTCCTCAGAACATTTAGTACTGTATGTATGTAGGTTATATGTCGATGATACATTCACTGTGTTGAAATCTGAGCACATCCCTAGGCTCCTCATACATATAAACTCAGCAGTAAATGGAATCAAGTTCACTTTCAAGTTAGAAAATGAAAAAAGGTGAGATGCCTTTGCTGGATTATAAAATAAGACTAAAACAAGGTGGTAGGTCAGGTACTGGTAACTGTAGGACACTATCACATTCAGATAGATACCTGGACACTGAATCATCCTACCCGAAATCGAGAAAGGTAGGTTGATTTAAATTTCTGTGTAATCGAGCCAGGAGTGTATTAGTTCAGAAGATTTAAATAATGAAATCGAATAAATAAGGAAAACGTCACCAGTGAATAAATACTCACAAGGATTTTTTCAAAGATGTATGTAGGCCCTTAAGTAAAGCAGGAGTAGTAATATAAATAAGCAATTCAAAGTCTCAATTATACTGACATATAAAGAAGGAACGTCAGAAGCCCTATATAGGTTACTTTACAAGGCTGGAAACGGGGTAGGATTTAAAGCAACCAACCCATAAACTTTGTCAGCTGAAGGACCTGATCGATCCAGTTGGCAGAAACAATACAATTTGCAAAATACCATTTAATGTCTGTGAGGTCAGTTGCATAAGTCAAAAAACCACGAAGTGTTCACAAGCTTCAATGCCTGGTTCAATTTGAAAACCTGATAAATCAAACCTATGACTTGATACCAACGTCCGATGAGAACCTACAACAATTCAAATCAACTGTCCTCGACTGTTGCCACAAATTTATAAATGGCAATCCAAACGGAAGATCCGTACTAACGAAGAAACACTACAAAGAGCTGAAAGAATTGATGAACAATGAAGAGATTATGCTGATACGTCCTGATAAAGGTGGAGGAATCGTAATCATGAACCGTAAGGATTATATCAGTAAAATGTTGACCATTCTATCTGATGAATCTAAATTCACCAAACCGGCCAACGAGAAAAACATGACGGAGCAGATTGAACAAAAACTAACAGACATCCTCCGTAAACTAAAGAACGAATCATTCATTACCAACGAAACGTTTGAATCCCTGAGACCATCTGGTTCAAATATACCAAGACTCTACGGACTTCCTAAAGTACACAAGATGGGCACTCCACTTCGACCGATCCTCGACATGACTAATTCACCTTACCACCGCACTGCCCAATGGCTAGCAGACTTACTTGAACCAATCAGAAAACAAGTCTCCCGTCACTCAGTGCGAGATTCATTTGAATTCGTCAACTGCGTCGAAAACGTCAATGTTTCTAATCAAACGATGATCTCACTAGATGCTGTCTCATTGTTTACAAATGTTCCACTAACTGAAACAATTTGTCACATATGCGAGCTCATCCACTCAGAAGGAGTAAACATCGGCATACCCACCGACTACCTAAAAGAACTTCTGCTGAGATGCACCCTAAACGTCCAGTTCTCCTTTAACAATGAAATATATCGTCAAAAGGATGGTATAGCTATGGGCTCACCACTAGGCCCTCTGCTTGCGGATTTCTTCATGTCGAAACTCGAAAACACTTGCCTAAAGAATATGATTGACAACTTTGAACTCTACAAGAGATACGTCGACGACACCTTCATCATCTGCAACAACGAAGAGAATTTAGAAGATATCCTGAAGTTCTTCAACAACTGCCACCCTGCGATTCAGTTCACACTAGAGAAAGAGTCTAACTCAAAGATATCTTTTCTTGACGTTCAACTAACGAGACGCCAACAAGACGGTACATTAAAAAGATCCATCTACAGAAAGCCAACGTGGAACGGACAGCTCACTAACTTCCACAGTTGGGTGCCTCTATATACTAAACGAAACTTAATCCGTTCACTAAGCCACAGAATACGTAGAATTTGCAGCCTGGATGCCATAGAAGACGAAATGAACACTCTTAAGAAAATCCTCCTTGAAAATGGCTATCCAGAAAGATTTATCACAAAATCAATGAAACCCAGACCAGAGAAGCCGCCAACACCCAGTGCTCCAAAAAGACTCCTCTACATGAACCTACAGTTCAATGGAGACCAATCTACAGAAATACTGAGAAATCGGCTCTCCCGCTCATTGAAGAAAACCTTCCCTGCAGCTGAGTTACGACTGACGTTCTCCACGAGACCAATGATTCGTATGAACGTGAAGGATAAGCTACCGCTGTTGGCCTCATCTATGTGCATCTACCAATTCACCTGCTCGTGTGGAGCCAGGTATATCGGCCGTACTCAGCGTTCGCTATCCAAACGCGTCAACGAACATTTACCTTCATGGTTTTATAAAGGAGAAAACCGATGCCCTCGCAGCTCGATCCTTGAACATTTGATCGACTCTGGACACCAAGTCAAACCAGAAACAAACTTCAAAGTTATCTACAGAATACAAGGCAATCTTGCTAAAAGTGTACGGATCAAACTTCTCCACATCGCAGAAGCAATGGCAATTCATCTGCTAAATCCTGAACTCTGCATACAAAAGAAATTCGTTCATTCATTAAATCTACAATGGACGTAATCTTTCTTAATTTCAGTCTTACTAATTGTATTATTTTGTCTTTTTCATTTTATTTTATCATTTTATTATTTCACATCTTCATTTATATTATTCTCTACTCCACCCTTTTGTAATTTCTACCCTCATTAACAATGTTGCTAACTTGACCCACGTCCAATTTCTAGTCAACTATGTTACGTCACCCGATTAACTTACTTATTTTCAACTGTATTATTCTCTAACCTCACCCTTATTTAATTTTAACCACCACTCATTAACACTGTTGCCAACCTGACCTACTCTGAATTCTACTCAACTGTATTACGTCATCCAATTCACTTAATCAATTCTATTTTATTTTCTATCTTAACGTTTGTCTCCAAGCCAAATAATACTTACATTACATAATTATCTAAACTTTATAAATCTAATGTACACACACACAAACAAATTTGTATATATATGCGATTGTACAGCTCAGTGAATGAATTCGCCGAAAAGAGTCTCTTCGCTGAACGCCTTCTTTTCTTTTATATAAGTCATACTAGTAGATTCGGGTTAGTTAGATTATCAGGGCATGGATATTTAGCTAGAGCTAGACTAAGTGACTCTGATAAAGTAAGTAATCTGGGAATAGCTGGGCCATTACAATGCATTTTATTTGCGAGTAATCACACAGTTAGGAGAGATGGGGTAAAAGTACTAAAAAGTAATATTATCAGGTGGAGAGACAGAGAGGGTAAACTGCAGAATCACTGGTTATCGAATCAACACCACACATGTACAGTCAAAATAACTCAACGTCTATGCGAGATATATCGAAGTTTGCAAGATAATACGGAGAAGAGTGTGACTACACGTGAAGCCGTGAGAATACACTGGTATGATTGTGGGCAACAAATACTGCTGGAAACGTTACTGAGTCATTGACACTGTATCACTGCGTTTTAAATCAAATAAACTGACGTAATATAAAAGTATACTTGTGGTGAGAGCTGGCTGTTAGTCAAAATAGGTGGAGAGCAATTCACGTCAATGTTTATGTCTCCAATATTGGTCGTGAGAAAAATGAGAACAAACGCTTTGTGTAGGCGGATACAGTTAACATATAGATGATCTGTTGCCTGGCCCTTGTCTTCTGTTGTTACATACTCTACCACCGTTCCCAAATTCTAGTCTTACATTAGGTTGAATGTTCAGTCTTAGATAACGAATCTGCGTGTAATGAAATAGGAGGTAGTTTATACTGAATCTACTGCTTTTGTAATGTGATTATTCTACCCTTCTTAGATATCTCACATTCCTTGCCCCATTTGTAGAGCATGTGTTTGACTTTGATGACATGATTTTGCTTTCATGAAGCCTCATTCATGCTCATGTCACAGCTCTAAAGTATCTTATTTTTAAACTCTTACGAGTCTATTTTCTCAGTAACTTAACACATTTTATCCTATCCACTTTTAATTACATTATTTCACTGCTCGCCCACGCATCCAACCTTTGCACACACACACTTTTACGCGATCCGCCATAAATTTTTACCTCTCTGCTGTTATGCTTTATTAGTTTGTGATATATCTTGGCGTAGATAGCAGTAGTACCCCCAACAAGCGTATCGCCCTTTATGGGATTCATCGGCTGAGATCTGGACATACCACCTACATCTTCAAGCTCCAAAGTAGCATCAACTAGGCTAATAAGCCACCAAATCCACCCCAGTGGGCAACAGTTATCAGTTGCTATTGTTCAAAATCATTTTGACCATCCTGTTCGTCGATATGAGATTAGATCGAAAACCTCGGTCTGTGTTCACGTGTTGACAACAATTGTAGTGAAGGTTGTAGGTAGTATCATCTTTATTTTCGTTATCTAAATACCTGGCATGCGATTACATCATTGTCAGGCCTTCTTTTCCAATTAAGTAAAATCTTACAGGTCATCTGTTCAGGTGTCATCATTCGTCTTATCTTTTTGTCTAGATAAGCAAATAAGTTGTAGTGTAAGATCATACATACATACACTGTCATGTGAAGTAGTTATTGAAATTTATCAGAAGTTCAAACAAATGCACTTTTATTTTTATCATTTCTGAATAAATTCAGTGAAGTGTAAACCTTTTCCGACTAGATCTGCATTTACGCTGATCTCCTGCTGTGAATAACATTATCTGTTAAATTTAGAACAACGCATTATTTGTTAGCGTCGAGTTCATTAGTTAACTGATAAATAAATAAATATATAAATACTCGGTAGAAAGTATGCATAAATGATAATACAGTCTTATTTAAGTGAATCTGTATCGTATAGTACTACTATGACCACTAATAAACCTAAGGATATAGAGGTAATATACACATATATGTTTCCGCGAGCAGGGCAAGAAAGATATGCACGGATGACTTCTTACAAAAGGAATTTGAATATATTCACGATTCCTTGACGAGATGGGCTATCCGAATAGTTTCATAAAGAAACATATGAAAACACCAGATAAAAAGCCTGAGACTCTGACTGAACGTAAAAAACCTCCATTTATTAAGTTACAATTTAATGGTGACTTGTCTAATGAGATTCTATTCCAAAGACTTTCAAGGAGTATACGGAGAACATTTTACGCAGCACACCTATGTTTGTCATTCTCTAGCCGACGAATGATTGGGATGCAAAAGAAGGATAAGCTTGATAGTTTTGCCACATCTATGTGCATTTATCAATTCGACTGCACCTGCGATGACAGTTATGTTGGGCGTACTACTAGACAGCTCAGCTAACGTGTTGGTGAACATCTCCCATCATCGTGGTTTGGCAAAGGACAGACAAAAACAACCCGTAGTTCAATTTTGTCACATTTAATTGATAGTGGTCATGTAGTCGAGAAAACGAAAGCCTTCAAAGTAATTCATCTTATCCCACTGAATCTTTCCAATAGACTAGACTTCGTATTCGTTTACTGCACACAGCTGAGGCGATAGGCATTCGAACCATTAAACCTAAACTATGCATTCAAAAGACGTTCGTACAGCCATTATCCCTCCCGTGGCCTATTAAGACATAACCAACTAAAGACTTCTACACCACCCCTTGTTTATATTTACAACCCCTCTCTTGTCATCCCTTAATCTCATTACATCTTCATTAAAAACGTATATCATTTACTTCCCTTACAATCGAACATTACTTAATCGGTTCATTTGTTTTTACTAGCCTTTATCGACTACTTTCACCTGAACAATTGTTTGTTTAATCATGCTGTTCTTTCATTATTCCTGTTATCACAGATTGCTTCAATTTTCATCCTTATTATTGATAAGACCATTATTATTATTATTACTACTACTACTACTGTTATGACTAATTGTACAATTTCTATTCACCATCGTATTATCCTATAGACAAAACACCATGATTGGTTTATATTTGAATTTCTATTTGTAAAGTTATGCAAGTGTATTAGAGTTAAGCCTTATGAGATCTAATTGAAAACAGTATTGTTCGCTTAAATGTGTTGTTCTAAATTTCCGTGATATGTTGACTTCGTCATAGCACCTCTGTGTCATTCATCTATATTGTAATTACAACAACACTAACACTATCTGTTCACTCAACCAATGAGATGCACTGACTAATTTGTTTTCCTCTACCCTTCCCCATAACTGACCAATCCAAACCAAAGATGTTATATAATTGAGGTTAAAATAACAACAACAACAACAACAACAAATAGTTCAGTCAGATTCCCGTAAAGAAAGATGCATTCTGAGGTAATCACAAAGAATACATAAATTATAAATTCACTCATTTGTCATTAGTATAGATCGAAATGCAGTCAGAAACTACAAGTGGTAATACTTTAAACGTGCCTATTAATAGCTGTAGTAGTAGTAGTAGTAGTAATATTAATAATGATCATGTATACAGACTAACACCAACCACTCCAAACAATAAATCAATATTCAATGCTGATCCCTATCAAGTATTATCAATGAATTCATCGTCTCCTGCTAATCCTCCTTCATCTACATCAGTATTATGCAATAATATCGATGGAAATATTATCAATTTACAAATCAATTTTAGTATTAATCAAATTGAATGTATTTGTGAAGTACTTTTTACCAGTCGAAAAATTGAACAATTAAGAGCCTTTCTATTAAAGATATCAACAAGCTCTATGTATTCAACAAGTGAAACCATAATGAAGTGTAGAGCGTTAATGTTATTTATTGATGAAAAATTTATTGATTTATTTAAAATTTTGAAAAATTTCTCCTTCAGTGCATATAATCATTATGCAATGCAACATTTATGGTATCAAGCACATTATAGACAAATTGAAAAATCTCGTGGATGTCTGCTGAATGCTGTCGGTAAATATCGTGTACGTAAGAGATTCCCTCCGCCAAGGACAATATGGGATGGTGATGAGGTGACGTATTCTTTTAAGGATAAATCAAGGCATTATCTAACTGAACAGTTTACGCATAATCCATATCCGTCAATTGTTGAAAAGCATGCCCTTGCGAGGCATACAGGACTCACGTTAACACAAGTGTCGAATTGGTTTAAGAATAGAAGACAACGTGAAAGATTGTTAAACGGAAATAGTAAGATAAAAAGGTGAGTATGTAATTTATTTTTACACAAATATCTTTTTCCAGTGATAAGTTTTTCTTGTAGTGATGACTCCCACCTTGTGACTATTGAGGAAAACGAGCATTGGTTTAGTATTAAGATCGGATGGATCACCTTGTGAGGTGTCGTTGAAACATCTCACCACGAAAAATCCAATTTGTTAAGAGCCAGTTTTCTAGTGGTCACAATTTCTAACTCCAAGCAAAATGTTATTTTTTTTGAGTAATGGTGATGAGTAGATGGCAAATGTGAAAAGGTTAGTTGTCTTCGACTACAAACGTTAGTGTTCTATATCTTGTGTTAACCGGTATAATACGGTGAGCACTGTTGAGGTTAAGCGTAGTGTGAGATAAGGATGGGAAATCAGTCGACATGGTTGTAATGCTACATCAACTGTGATGCCTAGAACTATTTTTGAGCGTGTCAAGTTACTGCCTTTCTAACCCAGTACTGTTAACTGATATGGGGTCAGGTTGGAAAAGAGTTAAGGTTGGTCAAGCCAAAGTTTGGCGTTAATCCATGACCACTTTGACAGATGGTTCGAGCTAGTCATGTAGGGAGGTGTAGACTGACGGAGTGAGGGATTTTAAAAACCAAATGGCTACAGACTTGATGATATAGCTGAAAATCGTTCTCAGTGGCACTGTTTGTGGTCTCCCAGACCCATTAATTTCTCATGTTTTCCCGATGTTACCATTCGATCCTCCACAAATTTCTGCTCATGAACAATGTATCGTAGTTTTCTTGAGTCCACTCCTCTACCTTTATATGCTAGATAAAGTGTAGCAGCTTTAATTGCTTCATAATTCTCTATGAGACTTAGTGACTCATTCACTCATAGGGATTAGCAGTAGGGTCTAGAATGTGTGTTTCGTTTGTGTAGAGCTCTTCCGCCAGGTGTACTTGCCTCTTCAGTGATTGGTGGTGTTCCCACTGAGAGTTGAACCCTGCACCTATCGTCTCAAACATCATATAGAATAAGTTTCAGCGCTAGTGTACGACCAACTAAAATAAACTTACGTTAACTTCAAACATTGTCTAGACGTCTGTACTAGAAATTGACATGTCAACAGGGACCAAGAAGTTCGGTTCGACATAATCAGTCAGCGGGAAATAAAGTTAGAATTCGTGGGTTGGCAATTGATTCGGGTCCTAGCGGCTTAATAGTATACGAACTCGCCTTGTAACCGGAAGGCCCTGTGTTTGAAGCCCGGAGGGTGCCTACTGTAAAGAGTCCAAAACTAGGACGAAACAGTTAGCTGTTCAGTACTCCCTGAAGGTTTTCCAATGGTTCTCTAATTGATGTCTGTCCATGATGAAATCCTCCAAACAAATAAAAGCTTAATTTAAACTTCTCGAACAGAATTTTATCCTTCAGTTTTACCTCGTGATGCATTGGTGACATGTCTATGCAAGGATCTATGTTGCTTCTCATTTGGTTATCAAAGCAATATTCTCTCTTGTCTTAAGTAGTGTTTCATATAGGATCCCTGGTTTAAATTAAGATGAACGGCACCAATTCAATAACAATTTAGATAACTTGCCAAAAAATATGAAAAATGAGAATGTGTGAAGTAGCAGCCTGTAAAATTATCTTAAAAGCTACTCACATCAATCACACCTCAGAGGATAATGCAGTCGCCAGGTTACGGCATGAGTAGGCGTAATGAAGTGTGATTAGCTATGTGCTGAAAGCTGAACACTCTTATGGTGACGAAAGTAATGACTCCCTGTACTTCTAAAATAAATAGCAGTTGAAACAGAGTGATATGCGTCCGGAATTCACTGACAGTATGTATCTTCTTTATAATATATGTGTACCTACTAACATTTGAATGTGTTCTAGGAACTGTAGTCATTTGTTATTATAGTGAAATGATGAACTGGTAAAGAAGTAAAGTCTACTAGCTGAACTGGTAAACAGCAGGACTAGTAATCTGGTGGCCTCTGATTCGCGTCCCGCCACAACTCAGATTTTCATTTCCCCTTTGTGTTGATAAGCTGATATTGATGTCATGTGCATCAGTGGTTCAGTGATAGAATGCTTACTAACCACTCACGTGATGCGGGTTTGATTCCAGAATGACGAACTCGTAAGCCTTGCCTCTTTTACTGGTGACAGTAGAGGCGCAGAAATGAAAAGGTTAGGGCTATTACCTGTACCCTGCAAGGCAAACAAAATTCCAAAGTTTGAAGCCCTATGCTCTACCTCGAATGATACAGAATAAAAATAACACAAAGGCTATTTCCGTCTTGCTGTGAATTAATAATTCTTAAGAAGTTAATTGAATGTAGCTCACTTATTAAACATTCTCAAAATGACACTAATTAGATAACAGTCGGAAACCACTTATTGTTTTCTCAGTATTATATGAGATCTAACTAATCAATGGTATGTCTTGCTGCACTGATACCTTCATTCAGAATCTGTTTGCTTACACACTTAATTAATATAATTGCTGAATAAAAAAATGTATTTATAGTCAACAAATATGCCAGCCATGAAATCAGGCCAACATCCTTGATTATTATCCATAGCGGAATAATTAGTATTCACTGTCGATAGGTTTTAAATTAAGATGCATAGTTCTTTTTAGTAAATGAAACCGTAAATCTATAGAAGCGAAGAGAGACGGCAGTAACTGTAGATGGTGCTCTTTCATTTTTGTCAAAGAATTCTGTTTTTGTTGAGATTTACCATTTATTATACAAGTGAAATGCCTAATATTTTTTATTCCCTATTTCTGCGGTGATTTTTAAAAGTTTATCTTAGAATAGCATCATTTTAGTAGTAGTATTGTAGTGGTAGAAGATACGAGACTTGGTAACAGAATGTTTATTTGGAATTTAATGTCTCTGTATAGGGAAATTATGTGCACATTATCTGCAAATCATTATCTGCACAGATCTTCCGTGTTGTACTATTTCTGCCCCCCAGCCCCTGTCTGCGTTCCTTTGTCTTTTTTTCCGTGTCTTCTATGTTTTACCGAAACACTGGTTCATTTGCTCTCTTTAACGTCAAATCTATCTTTCCGCTATTTGATATTTTTGTTTCGATGAACGTCTCCCTATGTATACTACTGATAAATCTTGTCAGTAGCACATATCGCAGTAGTAGTAGTAGTAGTAATTAGCCATAAAGTCAAGAACTCACTTCTTAGTGTATAAACATAGAAATGAGACTTTCACTTGATTTCTGATTCCCATTAACTACAACAAAAAAAGTAGTTTTATACTGACTAAGTGAACTTCTCTGGGTACAGTGTAATGATCAGTGTAAACTTATGCATCAAATACTTCTGTGTTTCTGTAGCTATTCATAAATCACTACTCATAATCTTGTTGCACAAAGATAACACTGGCAGTGATTTATTTAAATTACTTTGAATCTCCATTAATTAAATTAATGGAAGCAAAATACACGGTGATTGATAACATGTCGGCTTCCTGTGTGGACGCTTGGTAATATCTAAAGGTTGACTAAAGAACACTATAGAGTCTAAATCAATGGGTGCTGAGTTCAAGTCTCAGTGGAACAGTCTCACTCACTGGTATGTAAGTATACCCAGGTTCTAGATTCCACTGACAGTTACCATCAACTAAAATAACATAAGCCTAGATTTGTTTATCCAGATTCATTTAATGAAACAATTTTGTATCAGTATTCAGGCAGATATTATTATTATATTATTATATCATTTAATTCCTAGGGGAACATAGGGCTTCAGCTGCGCGTCTCCATTGAGTTCAGTTTTTCGCCACCTGTTTTACCCCGCTCCAAGTCTGCCCACATGCTTTCATCTCCTCTTCACATGACCTCCTCCATGTCACCCTCACCCTTGGACGACTAACTCACCGCTTCCCTTTCGGGTTCAACTCGAGCAATCGCTTGTCTAATGTTGTCCCTTGATGGTTTCCTCAGAGTATGGCCAGCCAATCCATCTCCATTTCTTCCTGCCTATTTGTTTCACAGTCGGTTCCTGCCGGGTTGCTTCGCCCATTGCCAGAGATCCCTGCTGCTGACCTTTTCTGGCCGGCCATCTGATCTTGAGCGAAGTATTGAGCGAAGACAACTGTTAATGAAGGTTTGTAGTTTGTTTGAGATGCTTTTTATGACGCGCTGGCCAAGTCTCTGATCCGCATAGTAAGTGGCACTGACTTCACATTGGAGTTGAAAATCCGGATGTCATTTCTGATGCTGAGTGATGTTGACCTCCACACAGACTTGAGAGTAATGAAAGCTTGTCTTACTTTCCCGATCCTTGCTTTGATATCCTCATCAGTTCCATCCACCTGTAGTCGAAACGATGTTTCCCAGGTAGGTAGGTGAAGAAAGTTGTTTCTTTCAGGTTTCTCCCATTTATGCTGACTGCTGTCTGTTGTTGCTATCGGTGTTGGCCAGGAATCATCACCACCTCTGTTTTCTCTATGTTCACCTGAAGGAAGTCCTATCTTTGATGCTTCTTCTGCCGAACGTCTGTGTCTTTCCTGAGAGAAATGAAGATGGAGTTTCAAAATCTGAAATGAACAGAAGTGAAGATGTTTACCATAAGCTTCTGGATATGAGATAAATAAATCAGACGAATGAATACGTTCAACTGATTTTCAAGATCACGATACAGTTTGAATTTGTGTGGCTTTTTTAAAATCGATTTTTGAACCACAATTTCACAGCTATATTCGATTTCTCCGTGAATGATATATAGTTCACTTGTTCTAATTATTTTGAATTTCTCGTTGATTTATTTTTCATTGAACCGAAATCTTCAGTCTCTTTTAACAAGTCGGCCTCTAGTAGAGACTCTTTGAAAATGAGACAAGATTAGCTTAATGTTAATTGCTCAATTGTGATTAGCAATGTGGTCTCGGATGTTCATTTGAAATGATGGGTAATGAGTTTGAGTCCCAGTTGACACAGTATCACTCCTGAATAAAATAATAATTCTCCTCTGGTGAGTCTCTGGTAAGGTGAAATGAGCATCTAGGATTCCACTGCTAGCCACAATCAATCAAAATAACCTCGAGATGTAAATGTAAATGTATTTTTAAAGCCCCTTTCAGTTTTATTTACACAATTTCACATGAGTTCAGTTTTATAGTTCAATGAATCAAATGTTAGTGTCCCAAGTGCAATATGGCGGGATCACCTATTTAGTATCATCAACCGTGAAATGGATTTTTGGATGTTAACTGAAATGCTCATGTCGTTATTCTGAGTGTTATGCAATGTTTAACAGGGAAGTTTATAGGGAACTATTGATTTCGATTTTGTACTGACTAACGTTGCTCACACAGATGTACCGACAAGTTATTTACCCTCAGACATTACAGTCTTCATCAACCACTGTTACATTAGGACACTTTACCTCTAGACTTTTCTTTTGGTTCTGAAGTGATCCTTATAACTGATGGCTACATCACATTCCTGACCAATGTATGCCCACTTCATTTCGAAATACGGAATAAAAGAGTAATCACAATCTAGTAATCAATCGATGCGCATGATCTAGTTTTAAAGTATGTTAGTCATTGACGAAAAACTATGTCGGTGAAATTTGTAATTCTATTCGGAAACTGTTTAAGAGTTGTGACAGATGTCAAACTTTTTGTCGACTCATTACTATAACTTATGTTTCTTTAGTGTATTCAAAAGTCTGACTTTCCACCACAATAGAACAATTCTTTTCGTAGGATGACAATGAAACATTTCAGTAATATTATTTTATGCACTATGACTTATGCAGAGATACCTGCCTTCACTGGATCGATACTGAAGATCACATGGCCAACCAGAAAAGACTAACAACCAGGAACTCTAGGAACAAATATACCAAAGACCTACTATTGCGTGAATATACAGAACGAAACAGATGAGTGCATTGGGCATACAGTGAGAAGACCGCTGAGTAAGATCATGCTCCAGGCTGTCGAGTGGAATCCTAATGGAAAATGAGCTACCTAGTGCAATATACATGAGATCGTGTGAGGAAGAGATAAAAGCTTATGGGCAATCGTGGAGCCAGCTAAAAGAAAAACTGCAGAGAACAGATTGAAATGGAAATGTCTTGCTGAAGCCTTATTTTCTACCTGGAACCCAAAGAAATAATTATAAAAATGGCGCATGCAAAGTGTGTAGACGTGACTAATCGGCCTAAGCAATAGACTTCCACACACTAGGTCCTAGGTTTAAATCCCACCTATTATGGATAGAAAATTTTATTTTGATAAAATCACACAGTGTTATACAGTAATAATAATAGATTTATCCATAATGGAGTTATACTCTTTGTATTAGATGGTTAGAGGCAATCGGCAGGAAGTCTTCAACCTAGGTTTCGTGCTAGTTGACTTTCACTAGCCAACAAGGAGTATCTAAAATCCTCATAGGAACTCATGTCCCTTGTGAGACTCGAACCCGCGTTACCTAGTGCTGCAGTCACAGATGTTACCACTGAGCTTTTCAGACTCGCGGTCGACCTACTATAGGACTGTATTGGATACCTTGATATGAGACTAGTCAGTAACTAATGTAATGTGTCTAGTCCTTTGTTAGGTGCAGACTGAATCCTATCAGTCAGGTTTTTTTATTATACCCTGATTCCACACCGTATTTTCGGTATGAGTATGGAATTTTCAGCGTTTGATATTCTTTTTCTTTCACGTTCCCCAGTGAAACATAGGGCCTCAAGCTGGTGGCTTGAAGTTTCTGTAGCATTGTTTAATTTTACAGGATGGGGTTGCTAGCCTCATGCCCAACGTTTCCTCTTTACCAGCATTATTTCTGGCTTAGCGAGGTAAAGGAGTGAGTCGACCGGGATCGAACCCCGGACCATTTGCATGGTTGGAGAGAGTCCTAACCGCTTTGCCACCGACGCACAGTGTGGCCGCCATTCTAGGTGTCTCGCCATCACAGTGCACTTTGAATTGTTGGTATTAGGTGGTTGGAGGCAATCGGCAGTGCCCAAGTTTCATCCTTATACCAATCAATCCCACGCAGCCTGCTTCAGCCTCAACGACTAGGTACTACTGTAACAACAGAAGACAAGGGCCAGGCAACAGATCGTTTTGTTACGAAAATCAACGCGTATTTATGTATATTTTATGTACATTAATAAGGCTTATGCAAGCAGAAAAAGGCAGTCTTCTAATTGGTTGTTTCTCGGAAGTTAAGTAGACAAACACAGTCTTCTGAATGGTTGTTTTCGATATTTCTCGGAAAGTAGAGCCATTTATCTGCGAATCATATTTGCCACGTTAAGTCTGCTGTGATTGGTTGCTGAATCAGCCTTGCTCATATTTTCTCACGGCCACCTCTCGCCACACTACCTCTCTCTCTCACACACACACACACAATGTGTATTTCATAGCTTGGTGAGTGATTTTTCTCTTTTGGTTACTTGAGTCAGTTCTGATATGCAAAAATTCATCCAAGTAGCAATTACTTCTGAAAGAAGATGAATTAAAAATCTTATCACACTCCACTACTTGTACTTGATGTTTTCTTCTTAAATAAAGCATCAGTAACTGCGGTTAAAATCTACACCCTGGAAAACAAGACACGTAGTGAAAGAAACTTTCTGATAAGGTCCTTACCTTATTTACAAATCATACTGCTTGCCGCTGATAGCTATAACAATTAAATATTCTGTCAGTCGGTTAACTCTGTCAACAGAATTTCGCCTTTTTCTTTTCTGAAAGACGGCTTGTTTGTAGTTGCAATCAATGGCTGTTGTTTCTAAAATGTTTAAAATCACTGATTTTCTTATCTGCAGACTGCTTACTTGAAATAAAAGTAGATTTAATAGCTGTAGAGTTTGTTTTATTGATTTGTGGTTGATCTTATTTATTACAGGAGAGATTAGTTTGATTTTGATTAGACCGCAGTTGTTGAAATCAAACTGATTGATTAATACATTTATCGACTGCAAAAATGAATGTCAGCATAGACAGTGTGATGTGTAAATTATTTACAAAAGATTATCTGGTTTATCAATTCACCAACGTCAACCGATCAAATCAGTTGATAGGAATCTGTCATCTCCATATGCTTCGAGTACATTTAGATTTACAGAGATAAAAGGCTGGATAGTACGTATTATAAATTTCAAGTGAGTGTTCTTCATATTCTTGAAATATAACATTGTGCATGTGAATTCTAGTCAGTCAGTCAATAGTGAGCGGTAATCTTTCATTGTTATTAGTCTACAACGAAACTATACTGTTTCTCTCATCTCATATTCTGTGAACCTTCACTGTATTGTGTCAAATTCATTGTAAGGGGGGGTGGGCGGATAGCTTGAGTCATTCTGTGCTATAAAATGAACAGCTCTCATTTTTACCATTAGCGATCAGGGTTAGACAAATGTATATTTTATATACGCCCTATATGAAATGAAGTGAAATTTCACGGAGAGTTCATACAACCTATTGAATACTCATCAGTGTTACTTTCTAACTTCTAAAAGAAGGTATTTAAGTGTTGGTTTGCAGGGATTTGGTTGGTTACATGATTTCATCATGAGCTGACATTGGTTAGAGAACAGTTGGAAAACCTGGGAGTAGTGGGCAGCTATTTCCTCAGTCCTAGTTCGGGACTCTTCATCAGTACACACCCACCGGGGTTCGAGCCTTGGTTACAAGGCGAGCTACCTCGTAGTCCATTAAGCCACTGGGACCCGATCCAATGGCCCATGAATTCTAACTCCTGCCAATTCATGACATAGCGCGACCTCTAGCCAGTGTCTTGGACAAGTATTTGTCCTCACACCCAACCTGCTGCTGATTAAGTTTGTAACACTTTTCATGATCATCTACCCATACAACTGACCACCACAAATGAAACTAAAAGTATTCTAGAAAATATTTCCCGGTATTTTGGTACAAACAACCTAAAGTTATAACAGATCAGCTTTTCCTGTTGTTGTATCCCTTGAGTTAGTAATATAATGCAAACAGCTAGACAATGGCTCACAGCTAATTCCAAAAGACGTGTTCCGCTCCTAATTTCGAATCAACAGCCAAGTGCATCTACACCCCATTGAGTGATGATATTCCTAATTTTGATAAAGGAAGAAAGAGGAAATTTGCAACACAAAATTGTATCATCATTCTACTTCACAGGTTGTCGTCACCAGCCTGAAATTACAATAGTTATAAAATGTGATGACATAATTCAATGTTTGATTGGTAGTAGGGAAACATCATTAAATGAACACATCCGAAGTTTATCAAGGAAACCAAGACTAAGAAATGTATTCCTAATTATCCTACAAGTCAAGAGAAATGCATGATTCCAAACACATTCATTACTATTCTAGGCATTACTGGAGGCAGTGAATTTCGAAGGAATTCACAATTAAACTGTTCAATGCAAAGAAACACTAAAGGTTAGTTCTATTATCACTTGACGTATTCACGTTAGTATATTGTACACACACACGCACACGCACAACTCATCGAACAATAATTCAACTGAAAAATCTTCCTTTCTTTCTTGACAGTTTTTATTTTTAAGAGTTGATCAGTTAGAGAACCATTGAAAACCAGGGAGTATTGGACAGCTGTTTCGTCCATCCTAGTTTGGGAATCATCGGAAGTACGCACTTATTACCAGGGTTCGAACCCAGGACCTTCCACTTACAAGGCAAGCTCGTAATACCATTCAGCCACTGGAACCCGATTCAACGGCTAGCCCATGAATTCCAACTCCTACCAGTTCGTGATGCATTTAGCACGACCACCAACCTGATGATTCTCAAACTAGGATGAAACAGCTGGTTTTCAATGGTTTTCTAACTGATATCAATCCATGATCAACTCGCAAAAAGAAAACTAATCCTTACAAACCAACTATAGAAAGACAGTTTTTATAACTGATACTGAATGCATAAATAACCAAACAGGATAGTAATTCATTGGGTTCCAAGTGGAACACTCAGTCGCATCACCACATCACGATTTCACTCTATCCTCTACAGAGTCCTCTTTAGCTGTCTCCATGACTTCGTATAAGCTTTCATCTCCTCCTCACATGATCTCCTCCACGTCATGCCGATGTTATGGTTTCTCACTCGGTTTCCACTAGAGGGTCTATCTGATGTGTGATATCACTCGATAGTACCCTCTGTGTATACACAATCGATCTCCCTCTCCTTCTTCATTGTGTTTAGTCATATATTGTTGTCTGGTTATTTTCCTACCAGAGTTTCTCGTTCCTTATCTTTTGCAGTCAGCCATCCCCCCTTCTCTGTCAAGGACAAATAGCTGTTGATAAGTCTACAGCAGGCAGTTGAAAATGATTTAAGGGACACTTATGCCAAGTCTCTCAACCACATAGAAGCACTGAAGTGATACTAGTGCTGGTGATCCGGACCTTTGTTCCTATTTCATTCAACCAACTCCCTTTATTAGTTTAAACAAACTTTCTCTTTATGTTGAATGCAGTAAGTTTTCATACTGAATTTAGCATACTGAAGGCCTTTTTCGTTTTTCCGACCCTACATTTGACGTCCATATCTGTATTGCCTGTAGCTGAAACGACGCTGCCTGGATAAGTGAAGGATGTGACCTCCTTCAAACTTCTCCCATTGATGATAACCAATACTTATTAGTTGGGTATCTTCATCGCCTCTGTTTTCCCTATGTTCACCTACAGCTGTGTCTTCTCTACCTCTCGTACTAACCCGTTGGTTTAAGCCTATATATCTTCGAGTTTTTGTGAAACTAGATATCAGTCCTCCACTAAGTCTAGATCTTCTAGTGTCACATCAAAAAAGATTCTCTTGGTCTCACATGAGTTCCTGTGTCTATCATTCCCTCCTTCCAAAAATTCAGCCTAATCGCCCTTAAAACTTAGTCAAGACTGGCTAGCTTTAGTTTTGACTTACTCCGGAAGCTTCTAATCTCATAACTAATAGATAACACTTTATAGTTTAACTTAAATCAGTAAGCCCAGTCAAATTTTATTAAGATTTGGTGGATTTTTTAAATTTCTATTGAAATGAATGTCTGCTACTGTTTCATTTCACTGCTTATTTAGGCTTTTTCTTCTTAAGTTCTCATGGTTGCGTTAATGTACAGAATTGACCACTTGAATGAACATGTGATCGAGCAAGAAGTCTAACCAGTAGATTTTATTCGAATATGTATCTAGATGCATAAGAAAGGTAAAGGCTGTAATGTAAAGCCCCTATATTACTATCATATTAGAAAGAAACATTAGAAGCCTTACATAGATTTCTCAATGAGTCTAGAATTAGGGTGGCACTTAAACCAACTACTTCTTTCAAAGATAAACTTTGTCGGCTTAAGGACTCTACAATTAAGAAGAATCATGTGATTGATTAGATGTCATGTATTGACTGTGAGCGCGACTACATTAGGTCAGACTAGTAGATCAGGGTCAGTTAGATTATCGGAAAATAGAAATTTAGCTAGCATGATTCACTCTGCTATGTTAAACAATCTAGGAAGAAGCTTACTTACTGCATGTGATCACACAGCATGTTTCAATGGTGTAAATGTAATTAAAAGTTATATAGTTAGTTGAAGGAAGAGGTGAATCACCGCATCTTTGTTTTTCCAATCAGTACCAAACACACCCAACCGAAATGAAGCAACGCATGTACTGGATACACCAAAGATTGAAGTAAAAAAAAACAGCAGAGAGTGAGGCTAATATAAAGTAAGCTGTGGAGTCGTGTAAGTAAATTTCCCTCGGAACGTTATGCAGTCATTAAACCTTTATCACTATGTTTATATTAAGAAAATTCATCTAATATGGAATTATATTTTACCATAATGCCAACATTTTACTCTTAGATTACCATTTAAGAGAGTTGATTAATTTCCTAATGGTCACCTGAAACGGTGGTTTGATATCATCTCATTCTAAATAATTTTCTGTGCGGTAGTGACTTCTAATGAAGATTATTCTTCCTACTCTGAATGTGTTTTTGACATCATGAGGAATTTAAATATATAAAATCCTGTAATGAATATTTTGTAGAAAATGTCTACAAAACTAAAAGTGGACGTCAACTAATGCTAACTACTTCTTTCTGAGTTGAATTTATCGAAGTTTTCATCGGGAAGTCATGAGAGACTGGTTTCACCATTTCAAATATGACAACAGTTATAAACCAAGGGTGGTTAGCTCTCTTGACGCTTTGGTAGAAACAGAATATAATAAGTCATTAACTCCTGACTTTATGGCTATGTGACAGCATAATTAAGTATCTTCCACTTGGTTGCTCACCTGTTTATTGTTATAGAAATGTGTGTTTGCGTATAATTGGCAAATTTTAAAGCCGTTTAAAGCTTGAACATTGAGATAAGAATAGAACTCATGCACTGTGGTAGAGTATAATTCTATTGTGGATAAATATATATTTTGATGAAGTCTCAATGTGTTATGTTGTACAGTCATATTTACTGATGACCACGTCTCCAGAACAATTTATTGCCACTCAAAATCATATCAATGTATTATCAAAACTTTCCAGCTTCCTTTATATGGTTCCAATGTTGCTCATCATTTGACTTGATTGGTAGTAATATTTTCCATATTTCTGGTGTGAGTGATAACTCATTCCCATTGCATGTGTTTGGGTGTAGATTCTATGAACAGAGATTCAGTGATCAACCTCTTTCTCCACCTACCTATATCACGTTTTTGAATTTTAACCTTCTCCCACTCCATTGTGTGATTGTGTGTCAATGTATGTAGTAGGATTGTTAAGCTTTTTCCTAAATTACTAATACTCACAGTGTTAATCATCCTAACCTTAGCTAAATTCTTATGTTCTGATAATCCCACTGCACCTAATCTACTAGTATTATAGTGGTGTGATACAGACAATGTTTTCTAACGGAACATTAGTCTCACATATTCCCACAGTTCAAGTCTGCATTAACAACAGAAAAGTAAATATTTCTTCGCTCAATCTTTTTGTTTTCTAAATGTCTAAATGGGATTTTCTCTATATTAGAATACGATATGTGTATTTGAACATTATATTTGGTGTTAGAGTCAGAACACATTTCTCACGTTTATATACTACATTAACAAAAGAATACTATGAATATTTGAACATTGTACTTCATGTCGTTTGATGTCAACCAAAATCAAACCTCAGTGATTGGTTAGAGAATATAAACTGTAAAGATATAAATAGCTGATTGATCACTTGAAAATATACCTTGGCTTTCTTGTTTTACCCTGTGTTGTTACAGTTTGACCTATGTAGTTGACCTCACAGTCACGGCAAGGTATTTTGTTTAATTGGGTCCATCGGGTCCTTTGGCCTACAGAACTTCTCCATGAATGAGTTCGTAGGTTTGAATGCCACCCTGTGGTGAGATCTGTTGCCTGTTGCCCTTGTCTACTGTTGTTACAGCTCTAATTCCTGATTCATTGAGAATCCAACGAAGGGTCTCAGATGCCCCCTCCTTATATGGCAAGATTGTAGATGCCATATATTCTTTCTTATTTATGTTATCATTATTAGTTTCACCATTATTTTTATTTTGCTTTTGAGCTTTTCAAATCTTCCTAATAAATTAGAAAAATTTAGGAAAAAGCTCAACAATCCTACTACATACAATAACACACAGTCACACAATGGAGTGGGAGAAGGTTAAAATTCAAAAACGTGATATAGGTAGGTAGAGAAAGAGGTTGATCACTGAATCTCTGTTCATAGAATCTACACCCAAACACATGCAATGGGAATGAGTTATCACTCACACCAGAAATATGGAAAATATTACTACCAATCAAGTCAAATGATGAGCAACATTGGAACCATATAAAGGAAGCTGGAAAGTTTTGATAATACATTGATATGATTTTGAGTGGCAATAAATTGTTCTGGAGACGTGGTCATCAGTAAATATGACTGTACAACATAACACATTGAGACTTCATCAAAATATATATTTATCCACAATAGAGTCATTAAAGAAGGCCACTTGTTAGTGTGATGTATTAAGAAATCAGTCCTTCCTTCACGTTCCCCATTGGAACATAGGGCTTCAAGCTAGTGGCTTAAATTTTCTGTAGCAGTGTTTAATTTACAGGATGGGGCTGCTAGCCTCATGCCCACCGTTTCCTCTTTACCAGCATTATTTCTGACTTAGCGAGGTAAAGGAGTGGGTCGGTCGGGGATCGAACCCCGGACCATGTGCATGGTTGGTGAGCGTCCTAACCACTGTGCCACCGACGCACGTGTAATGTGATGATTATGTAATCAATCAATGTTTCTTAGTATATTATTCAACAGGAAACAGACACAACACTGAAAGTACTATTATTATCATTCCTCTAAAAAGGAAAATAGGGAGCTGTTTAATTCAGACTGGAAAATGCATATAAACCAGTTAGTGG